ATATACAAATTAATGAAATTACAAATTAGTGCATAAAATGCATTTAACTGACAATAATTATGTTTGTTTTGTTCAAAAACTATTTTCCACAAAATGTTTTGTAAACCAAATCCCAGTTTAGAAAAAAATGTGATGAAAAGACATTTACACAAAAAGTGAAGATTTTTTTGGGAAAAAACTAAAATTTGTTTGACTTATGATAACTGTTTTGACATCACTTTATAGGTTAAATATTGTCTCAATTATAATGTTTTATTTGTTTGAATTATTTATAAGTGAACAAACATTTATAGTTTCCACAAGTGAGAGTAAAATCAACCATGGTAACAATTTTATAAATATATGAAAACAGTAGACAATTTTAATAGCAAATATTCATTAAGTTTACAAATATTGATCAAATAATAATACGATTTAAATGTAATTATTGTAAATATTTTTATAATGTCTAATTTATAATTAATTTTAGTTTAGTATGCTATTTATGCGAAAAGATAGTCATTTCTGTTTATTGTTGTTAAGTAATGCTAATTTATAAAACAATTATTATATTAATAAATGTAAATTTATTTGTATGACCAAAAAACCGAACTATGTAACATCCATTGTCATGAATATATTAATATAAATATTAAATAAAATATAAACTTTTCTAACTTTTTATTTTCTTAAAGTCTATTATAAAATGTCTGTATTTGTATTATTGAACGAAACAAAATTAGTAAAACATGCTAGTTTTAGTTTACCTAAATTAACTAACTCTGTTTGTCGATACATAATCCGCTTTTTCAAGATATAACGTTCATTGGACAATGCAATCTCTCTATAAGAAACAGCAAAAGTGTTTTTATAGGGAGGGTTTCACCAAGGGAGGTTATATACTGTACATCAAATTATAAAACACAAATACTGCACATTTTCATGAGTTAAAGTGGTTATGTGTATATAAGGATAAATAGGGTAATTTACAAGTGAATTAAATATTCAACAACTGATTTAAACTACATTTGCAATAAATTATTGCAAAGTTATTTACAATATTTTGTTCATAAATCTTCAATAAACGGTAAAAATATAAATAAAACATTAAAATATAATATAAACAATCATTTAATGTTATGTTTGTATTGAATCCAATAAAAACATATAACAACTATTACAACATAAATGTTAAAAATAAATTAAGTTCTCAATACTTTGTATAAATTAAGCAAGAATGGCAACTGATTGGCCAACCATGGTGATTTTGCTTGATTGGCAATTCATTTGTTTAGACCACTCTTGGTGAAATTTATAAAGTGGGCGTTTTGCACATTATGTAAAATTTACAAATTATTTACTAAAGTAGTTATAAATATAGAGTTTATTGTTATATTCTGTATATTCCTATCAAAACCCCTTCTCTACAACTGAAGTATTTTTGTGAGCGAAAGACATGAATACATGTAAACATCCTTTCATTTTATTCCCACAAACTCTTAATCCATAGAAATTTCTCTAAGAGATTGACTCCAATAGAAGAGATGATTGAGTTATTGTTTGCCATACGTTTGCGTTAAGTTTGCGATTCATTGAAGCGTTTCTTTTCTTTATCCAGTCGTATGAAAGGCTAAATTCATATCAAGTTATCCTTAAAGTGCAGTACAATATGTGTAGAACTGGCGAATAGTTTTGTGTATATTTAGTGTAAAATATGTGTCAACGCTATTATTAAATCACAGAACCCTATTGTTTATGGAGTTATAGTTAATCTTATTTCAACTTTTTTCTAAATACCAAATGAGAAAACTTTAATTATAACAGAATTTTGCGAGAAATTTAAACTCCATTAAATAATAGACAAATTCTTATGAAAATTACATCAATTCCCTAAAGAGAAAGTATTATAAGTTGTTTTATATAAATATATTTTCCATTAGAAGTGATTATGTATTATATAAAATTATTATTATACTATACTATACTATTACTGTATCTGTAATCCAATGAAAATTGGTGAATACTTTAAGCTCCTTTGGGAATTGTGCAATTGTACAAGATTCAAATACATAACATTCAAATACATTAAGATTCTTTAAAAATTATGTATACGATAGTCACATAAATATAAATATATGCATATTTCAAAACTATTTCCTCAATAAACATGTCACTGTATTTGTTTTATTATTATATTTAATATTTAAAACAGTATCACATAAAACACATGAACAATATATTATTTTTTTAAATATTCTATTCTTATAATATATTCTTTGATAATTTTATAAAATATAAAAAATATTCTTCATGAAAAATATATACATATTTAAAGTGCACAACTCTTGACATTAAATTATTGATATACTGTATTTTTAGAGTCAATTTATTTATTGTCATTTTTGCCAATATTGGGAGATATTTCATGGACTCATAAGTAAGAATTGGATTTGAAGTATGGATCAGACCTCAAGCCATTGGAGATAACTTTAATATTGATGAACAAATATATGAAATACACAAAAATACTTATAGGTTTTGCGATCAATCATTATAATATGAAATTGTATTTTAGGCCAATTATTTATGCCATCGATTGTGATGTTTGCATATGTTTTCTATTATAAATTAGCTAGCAACTAATATAAAGTTCATTTTAAATATAATCACATTTCAAATTAAAACTCAATTTTAATGTTTAAATAATAGTGTTTTGAAATAGCATTTATTGAACTATAAATAAATATTGAATTTCATTGAAAATAAACCCAATTCTGTGAAGAGAAAGAAGATTACGATTGTTTTGATTCGTTTCTGCCATACATTGCACTCATATTCCGGGCGAAGGAATGCTTTTTACGAATAAATATTAATCTCACGTCTGTTTGTATGCAATACTAAAGACTTATCACTAAAACTAATGCCTAAACATGTATTTTGATGAATGAGTTTTCAGAGCAGAAAATATATTTTTTCTACCAAATAATTTATGCTTTTCTTTCGTCTGTCTTTAATCAAGTTTTTTGTCAAAAATATTCGCCAAAATTAATTATTTTTTGTGCTATACTTCGAGTGGGAATAAAGTCGGTATTAATATAAATGTCTTCTAATATGTATGCTATGTATGTATAAAGGGTTTCACTGTTTGTCTTTTGAAGACAAAAATCCAAAATAATAATAATATTTAATATATTATACAGTATTTGTACACATGATAACAAAAAATATCATTAAAAGTAGTCATATTTCATGTATTACTAGTTTTAGCTGAGGATGGAGGTAATAATACATATGTAAATTTATAATACATGTGTATTATTTATAACAATATTTGCCATACATACAACATGGCGTTAACTATTGACAATATTTGTTAAAAATGGACAAAATTACCTAAACTTTGGTATTTTCTCAGTTTATTTTAAAATTATAAAATTTAAATTATTATTTTAAAGAATAAGCATATAAAAGTAATCATATCTAGGCAAATATCTAATATTTTAGTTTATAAATTAATTCATAGATTAACATTTCCTATAGGTTAGCATTAACTTCTAGTTCTTAAGCATTGTATGTAAAGAATTTGTTCCGTGTATTATCCCATCCCTAGTTTTAGCTAACATCCCATTCTTCCCCTGTATTTATAATTATAGTGAAGTCTCTGTCGTATAAAACAAAGTCTATTATAGAGAGTGAAAGGCATTAGAGATGCCGTTATTGTTACTCTTATTTCAATTAATCATTTGATGTTTTACTTGATATGATATCAATCAATATTAAACAACTCCTAACAACAGATACTTTTCTATAATACACTTTCAGACAAACTTTTTTTCAGAGAGATTTACTTAAAATTGATGGCAGGAATCAGTTATCTTCAAATCATATGCTGTCATAAAAGCAAACCATATAATACAAATTACCTGATGGTTGAACTCACAACAGCATAGGTAGGCGTGAGGTCGAGCTCACACTGAGGTCTCTCTCTCATATTGTTATTAATCTGTTTTTGATGGCACGGCGGGAATGGTATGGTTAGGCACGTGCTCTATACTGAATCTGTGTGCGATATCGTTGGACAGATTCGTTCACATTAAAGACCCCATGAGTTACAATCGATGGATGAATAAAAAAATTATTTTTTGCGCCGTTTCTGGCATTTGGTTGGTCTCAGGATTGGTATCGTTTGTGCCAATAAGTCTTGGATGGCATCGACCGACCAGTGATACCAATTTGGATAAAAACTACACAATAATCACTGATATGTTAGAGGAGAGACCTCAGTGTGAGCTCGACCTCACGCCTACCTATGCTGTTGTGAGTTCAACCATCAGGTAATTTGGACACTATTTACATGTAAAAGCAATTAGTATTACATTTGCAATGCATTCAACCCAAGGAATTAGATTCTTATTAACCATTTTTAAACAATGCAGTGATTTCTCACTTCAATTGAATCCAATATATTGTGATTTCAAATAACTTGTAAATTATTTATATATTTATTGATTTCAAAGCGACATTAAATGCAAAAGTTTTGCTGAGATTGAGATAAAATTTTATTCAATTCTTTATGTTTGCTTTGAATCGATGACACGAGGAATAGAGTGAGAAAAAATATTTTAAATTTATTTTTATATATAAAAAGCAAGTTTTTATACAAAATTTTTATGCATTTTATTTAAGTCATTGTAAAGTTAGTCAGAATTTTTTCTAAAAATAAAACATTTTAAAGAATATTCTGATGCAAAACAGGTTTAGAGTGTTTGATATATCGGGACATTTCAATAAGATATATTGATTTCTAAATATTTTATATTCACTCTTATGTCAATGAATGCTAACACAGAATTCAAATGTGCAAAAATCACATGAATATGAAATCGTATTCTGATTCCAGTAATATATATCTGACGTGAATATAATTAAATAGTGGACTCAATAATTAGTACATTTTCTCGGTATTTGTTTATGTAATTTATCATTCGTTTTGATAGGAAAACCAAAGAGTTAATGCAATTATATGTATATTTTTCTAATTAACAATATTTGGTTTGACTAAATGAATTAGATGTAACATTATTTATCTACGGCACACATGCAAACATGATTATACGATGTAATCATAACAAGTATGATAATGATAATAATAATGATTGACTGAACCTGTAGTTTCTACCTGCCCTGCATTATAATGGTCGGCCTCTACGCCAAACTGTACGCTATCTGTCAGAAACATGTCAAGAGTATTAAGTCAATGACAAAACCGATTCACGTAAGCGGACAGACGTATAATCATCACATCACTGAACATAAGGCTGCCATCACTTTGGGTGTCATAATGGGAACATTCTTAGGCACGTATTCGCCACTCATTCACACCTAATCCTCTCTCCAAATCCTGTCTTCTCTTGTAATACAATGATATTGAATGTCATATTTCACTGTCTATTCACTCACTAACAGCGTGTTGGACGCCATTCTTCTGCATGAATATTGTGGCCGCTTATTGCAAGACATGTATACCAAGCCTTGCTTTCAAAGTGCTCACATGGCTCGGTATGTGTGCCCACACATCCAGAACCCAAACTAAATCATTCCCAAAAACATCTCTAATCAAAATTGTACTCATATTTTGTTCACTTTTGTTTCGTTTGTCTCATTTGTAGGATATCTTAATAGTAGTCTAAATCCAGCGATTTATAGGTTTTTATTACTTTTCAAATTATAATGACTTAAAAACTGAAAATTGTTTATTAATTATAAATTCTTTTTCGATATTTGAAACCCGAAAACACAGTATATTTAATACAGAATTTCGCGAAGCTTTTCGACGGATAATCGTCTCATACATCGCTCGCGACCAGTGCTGTAATACGGGTGGCGATAGACAGCGGTGTTCGTCGCGTTCGGGTCCCGACAACGTAGGGACGGCACCCGTGGGTCACGGCTTCTCTCCGTCTCCGCATCACATTCCGAGCCCCGCTTTGAATCGTAACGTGAGTTCCAGTGATATACAGCTTCCGGTGCCGCTTATGGGACACAAAATAGAGATCACATCTAATCTATGCGATGGAAAGATAACAGACATCTGATCGAAAGAGTTACCGGTGGATAAACTGATGGGTTATTTGTTTTGCTAAATATATTGTTATTATTTTAGTACCAAAAACTACACTTAACATAGAGATAAACAAATGACAAAATTGTATATTATTCTCATTAGATGTGTATTTTATGTCTTGAGTTATACAGTATATAAATGGCCTGCAATTGCAATCATAATCACAATAGATATGTGCGTTACGTGTAATTGAAAAACGTCTTGTATTTTGTGAGACTTTGTGTTTGGTATATAACGAATAAAAAGGCTCATCGATATAGATATATGTTATTAATATACAAACCGTATTTGCTTTGACTTTAATTAATTGTTATCTGAGCTTTCATTCTGTAGTTATTAATAATAGAGAGAATATATATACAGAATATATACGTGTAATGAGCTTATGGTGCGATCGTTGTCCGCATTGGCTCTTCATATACCCGTATATACAGAATGTGAACATTGCGTGCAATTAATACATACCAGCGATTGATTCAATGACTTCTCTGTTCATCACTTTTTTCTAATTACTTGAGAAAAACACACATTTATTTTGTATTTCAATCCGCATTGGTTTCCATCACAAATGATCATTAATTCGTGCGATTCTTAATTATAACACATTATATGATAATTAATAAAACACTTTAATATTTATTATGAAAATCTTTTTTCCACAACAAATACCGAATTATTAATTTTGTTGTCAATACAACTTTACCTCAAAAATCAATTAAATTTCTATTTTCCATATAAAGAGCTTAACATTAGTTTTACCAAAAAGAAAAATAAAACATTTTTATATTATATAATAATATTATCATTAACTCTAAAGCCCTACTCTATATTTAAATCTTGGTTTAATTATTCAAAAATACAGCATTAATAACAATAATAATAATTTTATAAGCTTTTAATGAAAATTGCAATAAATATTAAATAAAGTGTTAAAAGAGTGTCAAAATTACTTGAAATTATCACTCGTGAAAAAATACAATTAGTTTTCGATACTTTTTTCAAGTCATTTGAGACTAAGATTTCATTTACGAATCTCATGAGGAATATTCTGGCGAACAATCGCTCATTGAATGCAATGTCGAGTCAAATATCAAACATTTGAATACATTTACAAACTTTGCATTACATTGTATTCTGTCCTTTATATACAAATTAATGAAATTACAAATTAGTGCATAAAATGCATTTAACTGACAATAATTATGTTTGTTTTGTTCAAAAACTATTTTCCACAAAATGTTTTGTAAACCAAATCCCAGTTTAGAAAAAATGTGATGAAAAGACATTTACACAAAAAAGTGAAGATTTTTTGGGAAAAAACTAAAATTTGTTTGATTTATGATAACTGTTTTGACATCACTTTATAGGTTAAATATTATCTCAATTATAATGTTTTATTTGTTTGAATTATTTATAAGTGAAAAAACATTTATAGTTTCCACAAGTGAGAGTAAAATCAACCATGGTAACAATTTTATAAATAAATGAAAACAGTAGACAATTTTATCTATAATAGAAAATATTCATTAAGTTTACAAATATTGAAAAAATAATGATACGATTTAAATGTAATTATTGTAAATATTTTTATATTGTCTAATTTATAATTAATTTTAGTTTAATATACTATTTATGTGAAAAGATAGTCATTTATGTTTATTGTTGTTAAGTAATGCTAATTTATAAAACAATTATTATATTAATAAATGTAAATTTATTTGTATGACCGAAAAACCGAACTATGTAACATCCATTGTCATGAATATATTAATATAAATATTAAATAAAATATAAACTTTTCTAACTTTATATTTTCTTAAAGTCTATTATAAAATGTCTGTATTTGTATTATTGAACAAAACAAAACTAGTAAAATATGCTAGTTTTAGTTTACCTAAATTAACTAAAACTCTGTTTGTCGATACATAATCCGCTTTTTCAAGATATAATATTCATTGAACAGTGCAATCTCTCTATAAGAAACGGTCAGAAACGGCACAGCAAAAGTGTTTTTATAGGGAGGGTTTCTCCAACGGGAGGTTATATATTGTACATCAAATTATAAAACACAAATACTGCACATTTTCATGAGTTAAAGTAGTTATGTGTATATAAGGGTTATTCACAAGTTAATCAAATATTCAACAACTGATTTAAACTACATTTGCAATAAATTATTGTAAAGTTATTTACAATATTTTGTTCATAAATCTTCAATAAACGGTAAAAATACAAATAAAACATTAAAATATAATATAAACAATTATTTAGTGTTATGTTTGTATTGAATCCAATAAAAACATATAAACTATTAGTAATAGTCTATTACAACATAAATGTTAAAAATAAATCCAGTTCTTAAGACTTTGTATAAATTAAGCAAGAATGGCAACGGATTGGCCAACCATGGTGATTTTGCTTGATTGGCAATTCATTTGTTTAGACCACTCTTGGTGAAATTTATAAAGTGGGCGTTTTGCACATTATGTAAAATTTACAAATTATTTACTAAAGTAGTTAT